CATTTACTCCTGAAAGTCCTGAGAGGGCCTAGGAAGGAGGAGAGGAGGAGGGGGCATTGTTCCAGGACTAACTCCTGGGTCTGTGTTCCCATAGAAAATTCAGTAGACCAGTGGCAAGTTCTCAAATTTTTAAGTCTGCTTGGTGAATTTTTTTACTTGAATTGGTTACATATGTCTATGTTACAAATTTAAAAAATGCAAAATGTTAGCTTAGGAAATACATAGTTCTTTCCCATTTACACCCCACCAGCGCTCAGTTCTAAATCAGTTTATCATTTTCTGGTGTATCCTTCCAGAATAATCATTTTCATGCATAGGAAAATGCATACATGAAACCTTAAAAATGATAACTACCTTGGCATCACTTAGTGACTTGCTTTTTTTACTCACCTGCATAGGACAGATCAGCTTACTGATAAATGCTTCTGCTTTCTTTTTTAAAATTTGCTAATTTTGGTGGCTACATTTTTGTTCTTCCGCATGTGCACATGTTACACTCACTTTCCACCAAATCACCCTTGCAATATCCCATCAGTCTCCTTTCCCTACTCATCCTCCCTCCCTCCCCTTTATTTTATCTGGGGAGGAGAAACTGAACTTTGGCCGAGTTCAGTTATTCTTACTGCATTTTACCTATTTGGTATTTATATTCTATAGATGAGTGAAACCAACCAATGTCTTTCACTCATTTTACTTGAGGTTTATCGATTTTGTTCCAAATGCCACTATTTCAGTTTTATCATAATGATTTTGTTCCAAATGCCACTATTTCAGTTTTATCATAATTGTGTAATATTCCATTGAGTATATATTCTACACTTTCTCTACCCATTTATTTTTTTTTAAGATTTATTTTTTTATACAAGAGCTGGGGTACAGGCCAGAGGTGTGGGAGGGTGAAAGGATTCACCAGAGACAGACCGGGGAGCAGAACAGGCAGACAGACCGAAAACACTGTAGAGGAAAGCAGCAGGCAAGACAGGAGAGGTCTGCCGTGCCATATGAGTATCTCCCTGGCCGGCCAAGAATCGAACCCACGCTGCTGTGGACATCTTCACAGAGCTGAGCTTAACCTGCTGCGCCACTGGGGAGGCTCTACCCATTTATTTGTTGAAGGGCACTTTCATTGTTTCCATGATTTGTTAATTGTGGACAGTGCTGATATGAATATAGACTTTTTTTTTTTTTGTATTAGAGTTTTTATATTCTTTGGATAAATACCTAATAGAGGTGTTATCAGATCCTATGGAATTTCCATTTTTATTTTCTTAAAAATTTCCCTAACATTTCCCACAGGGCCAGCACCAAGTTGCATTTCCACCAACAATCGCCACACCCTTGGTGGGATTTGTTGATTTCATTCTTTTTTATATGGGCCATGGGTTTTATATGTTCATGGATTTTTGTTTTCTTTTTCAGAGTGTATACATATGGCATTTTATCAATATTCTTTCAAATTATTTGTCTCTTCTTTGAAAATTTGTTTTATGTTATGAATATAGTCATTTTGTCAGTCATATATCTTGAGACTGTTTTTGCATTTTGGCTTTACATTTTACCCATTTAATGTACTTTGATAAAGCACAGATTAAACTTTAACTTAGTCAAATGTATGAATTTTGTAAATTTTAAGATAATAATTACTTACTTTTGAGGCCAGAAAGAGATTTGTCTATGCTATATTCAACAACAAAATAATGTTTTTTGATGGAAGCAGAAGATGCTAAATAACATGATCTAATCATTAATCTACCTCAGTTTCTTAAAATTATTTATTGTATTCTATTTAATATTTGTTATTACCACATATTCTCAATTATTATAGCTTTGAAATAAATCCTGATGTTCATTAAACAACTTCTGTTATCTCTTCCTTCACCTTGTGTGGATGTGTTTATTCTTACCTTATTACGTGTTGCTACAAAATTCAGGATTTATTTTGTTCATTTACTGAAGATTTTGAAACCTGTTTCCTGGGCTCTAGAAATTAGATGTAAGAAAATAATTTATAATCTACTCTTTCTTTTTCATTTCTATATATTGATAGATGGATGATGGTGGATAAGTAATCACAAGCATTTTAATGATAGACTTATATAAAGAATCAGTAACAATATATTAATATTCTTGAATGGAGTTAGATTTTTTTTTCTTTTTCACTATATTCTCAGTATTGGCTTTATAATAAATACACCTTTGTTATAAGAAATATATAATATACCTTTGTTATAAGAAATACCTTGTTATAAGAAATATACTATATGCTTGAAAGACATGAAAATAACAAAAACTAATAACCAAAACAATATGATACTGGAACAAAAACAGTCACTCAGCCAAATGGAATAAAATAGAGAGCCCAGAAATAAAACCACCTTATGTGAACAGTTAGCCTATGACAAAGGAGTCAAAAATATACCCTTGGAGAAAGGGAAATTTCTTCAATAATGGTGCTGGGAAAACTGGACAACCATATGAAAAAGAATGAAACTAGACAACTCTTACACCATACACAAAAATTAACTTAAAATTGGTTAAAGATTTGGATATACGAACCCAAACATTAAAATAATAAAGGAAAACATAGCAGATATACTACAGGAGACCTCCTGCAAATATGTATTTGTGAATACCACCCTAATGGCAATGGGAACAAAAGCAAAAAAGGATGCATAAAACTAAAAACTTTTGTACCTCAAAAGTAACCACCACTAAAACAAAAAAGCAAGCTGTAGACTGGGAGAAGATATTTGCATACCACACATCTGACAAGAAGCTGATTTCCATAATATAAAAAGTACATATACACTTAACAGGAACAAAAAACAGACAACTCAAATAATGAGCAAAAAATATTAGAGATACTTTTCTAGATGAGACATTTAGATGGCTATAGCACATGAAAGATTGCTCAGCAACACTTAATATAAGGGAAATGCAAACCAAAACTACAATGAGATACTGTCTTACCCTTGTAAGAATCATCCATATCAAGAAGAATGGAAACAATAAATGTCAATGAGTATGGAGAGAAAAAGGAACACCTATCCACTGTTGGGGGGATTGCAATTGGCTGCAGCCTTTGTGGAAACTAATACTGAGATTTCTTTAAAAAATGAAAATGGAGAACCCATATGATCTTGTAATACCTCTATTAGGTGTTTACCCGAATGTGTAAACTCTAAAACAAAACTAAAGAAAAAAACTCATGTACTCTTATGTTCATAACAGCACTTTTTTACAATAGCTAAATCATGAAAGCAACCTACATGCCCAGTGACAGATGACTAGGTCAAGAAATTGTGGAATATATACTCAGTGGACTACAACTCAGTTGTGAAAAGAGGAAATAGAACTGGCATGTTCCTAATGCTACTCCAGGTTTTCCAGTACACAAGAATTACACCAGAAATAGGTGATTACATTTAATTGTTTATTTCATGACCTCAAGAGAATGAAGCAATTGTTTGTCTCAAGGGTGCATGTACTTAAGGCTGTGACTATTGATACAAGAATTTATATATTAGTCCCCACCAGGAGAGGACTTACATTTGTCATCAGCAGGTTTGTTTTAGGATTCTAAAGATTCATGTTAATTTCAATGTATGTGATCTAGAAAATCATGTGGGAGGGGAAAGTTGCCCTTTAGATTTAGACACTTCTTGAGAACATTAAGTAGTTGCAAAAGTTACTTATCTGAACAAACAAGGAAGAGGGAGTATATTTACTCAATAGAGCCTTATGAGGTGACTGGCTTTAGGCCATGGAGGACAGTTAACTGCCTGTGAGGAAGAAAGTTCTGTCAATTAGCAGTGTGATCATTAATAAAGGAACTGTGTTAGTCTCTAGACCTAGAATATAGTTCAGAATATGGTGTACAGGAATGGATAGTAGGCTGGGAATCCCAGGCTCAGGGCTATAGTTAGAGATGTGTAGATTAGTCCTTATTTGCATGTCGTTGAGAAAGTCAAATTTCTCCAGCTTCTGTCTTCTTATCTCTAGAATGAAAAAATAGACTAGAAAATGTTTACCATTTAAATCAAATTTTAGTATTCCTCAACAATGAGGGAAGATAAATAATTAGGACTTCCTGAGTTAAGGAGCTTACCCTGAAAAAAATTAAGATTTCTTTGGAGAACAGACTTACTGGGTCAGAAAGAAGCACAAAGATTATTTTAGGCATACATTTAAATTGTTAGGGTGAAATCATAGTGTGAACAAATGATGCAAAATTGATTTTTTCAGTTTTTGTAATTATATTCCTGATTATAGGGTTGAAAATTAGTCACTGCACTATTCTAGGCTTATCACTTATAAACTTATAATGTCCAAGGGGTGATGAGGGTGGGTTGGGAGGATTTAATTTAGAACAACTATAAGCCTTTGATCTCATGTTCTTATTTGTACATATTAAAAATTGCAATTGAAAACCAGGAAAAAATTAATGATTGTATTGTTTTTACTTAATTTTTTCCCTTTTTTTTTATTGTGGCGACTTTAGTTTACAATGTTTTCTGTTGCAACTATAGGATTTCCCCTTTCAGGTATTGTTACCATGTACACAACCACCTCCAAAGTATTTATAATCCATCACCATAGTCCACTGTGCTTTCTCCCTATTTTGTTCTTGCAGCTTCCCCCCACCTCTGGTAGCCTCAGTTCTACAGTCATATATTTAGGGTTTACTGTTAGTTTGGTTTGCTGTTAGTTTGGTGTGACAATGAACATTACAAGTACATATATCCCTTCAAATTAGTGGTTTTGCATTATTTGGGTAAATACCTAGGAGTAAAATTGCTGGGAATATTTTAAATGGCTTTCATTTTAAAAAATTCTAGCTATTTAACATAACTTGCATAAAAATACATAGATCGGTTCAAGAGAGACATTTTGTTTCCTCTCTCAGTCTTGGTAAAGGGTTCTTAAACAAGAATCTTGTATCCTCACCCACCTTAATATTTTTGATTTCAGATTAATTCAAATTCTGGCACACAGAAACCATGTTATTGTCAGAGAGAAATAAAAGTGCCACCTTCATTCTCATGGGCTTCTCAGAGTACCCAAAACTGCAAGTTCCTCTCTTCTTGATTTTTCTGGTCATCTACATTGTCACTGTTGTAGGGAATATTGGGATGATTGTAATAATCAGAATTAACCCCAAATTGCACACCCCCATGTACTTTTTCCTCAGTCACCTGTCATTTGTGGATTTCTGCTATTCCACCATCACTGCTCCTGAGATGCTGGTGAACCTAATCATAGAAGACAGAACCATTTCATTAACAGGATGTTTAGTACAATTCTTCCTTTTCTGTATCTTTGTGGTAACTGAGTCCTTTTTATTGGCTGTGATGGCCTATGACCGTTTTGTGGCCATCTGCAAACCTCTGCTCTACACAGTTGCTATGTCCCACAAACTTTGTGTCTTGCTAGTGATGGGGTCGTATGCATGGGGGATAGCATGTTCCTTGACACTTACATGTTCTGCTATCAACTTATCATTTAGGGGTATCAACATAATTGATCACTTCTACTGTGAGTTTGTCTCACTGATCTCCTTGTCCTACTCTGATGCTTATGTCAACCAGATGTTGTTTTTTGTTTTGGCCACATTTAATGAGGTCAGTACGGTAATCATCATTCTCATGTCTTATGCATTTATTGTTGTCACCATCCTCAAGATGCATTCCATCAGCGGGCGCCGAAAAGCCTTCTCCACCTGTGCCTCACACCTGATGGCCATCACTATCTTCCATGGGACCATCCTCTACCTCTACTGTGTGCCTAACTCCAAGAACTCCAGGTTCACAGTCAAAGTGGCTTCTGTGTTTTACTCAGTGGTGATCTCCATGTTGAATCCTCTGATCTACAGCCTGAGAAATAAGGATGTCAAGGAGACGGTTAGCAAGATATTGGGCACTAAAATCTTTTCTTGTTGAACATATCATTTTAGTAGAGTTTCCTGTTGACATGTACATAAAGTATGTCCATAAAAATTGACTTAAAAGAAAAATCAATGTTGTACAATAGCAGAACATAGATTTTGTTTCAAAGAAACTAAACTTGGATTTATCTCTAACTAGACAAAAATTAGCATTCTTTCCCATCTTTAATTTTTCATCTGTAAAATTGAGATACTATAAACTAACTTCTAATATGATTGTGAAGATTTAAAGATAATAAAGATATCATGTGGGATACCATGTATAATATTAATAAACATTTTTTCTCTTATACACATCTAGAGTAGACGAGGCTGTCAATAAACACATGAATTTCTCTTGTAAAAGTACAAAAACAGATAAAAATAAAATATAGTCTTCCTCCTTTAAGATCTGCAAAATCTAATGTCGACAAGTAGTCAAGTAAAGAAAGTGCCTATTGTATAAAATAAAATATAGTAAGTATTTCAAAGGGCATGATAGAAAGTTCAAATCCATTTAGGGACTTTACAGAGATGTTTTAATAAAATAGGTATTGTTTCTACTTTATCTTTGATAACAAAATGGAATAGCATTTTGAGAAGGCATCTCAATAAATAGTTTTATTCAGCAAACAGAAACATACCAGAATCAAGGAGGTCAGAATGCAGTACTAAGGTAAAGGTCCAACAAATTTTTAATTAAGCAAATATTGTATGATGTATGTGGTGTGTGTGTATGCATGCACATGTGTGCTAAATTGTGTACATAGGTTACTTGGCATGAATGTAAAGTTGCTAAAATATGGTCTATTTCCTGAGTGTGCTTTCAAAGGAACAATAATGTAATGGCATGATAAGTTATGATAGGCTCCACCAGAGGCTTCTCAGAAAATCCTGTAGGCATGAAGTAAACATGAGGCATGACTGCCCAATTTGCATTTCATACTATTATTCTGTCTATAAAAACATTAAAAATCATAAATCTCTTATGACTTGCTTTTTTCTAGTATCCTTTTCACTCAACTTTCATCTTTAAAAAATTGCTTAGAGTTGCTTGAGTGTTGAAAATGAATAGCCTATATAACGTTATTCAAAATAAAATGAAAATCAGGCTATCTCTCACACCAAAAACTATCTAATCCTGCACATTGAAAATACCAAAACTCTCTAATATTAATAACTAATTTTTCTGATCATTATTAAAAGATTTCATTCATATGCATTATATAAGCTTGGACTAAATAATCATTTTGTATGGAAAAGTAAAATATGGAGCTCTACCGCCCACCTGTGATCATGCAGGTGCCTTTCTTTCTCACCTGTGCTTCTAAAACGTGGAAAAAAATAGTAAGGTAAAATATATAATAAAGGGTGTTTTAGATACTGGATGCTTAAATATGGAAATGCTTTCCTCTTCTATTAAGTTCTATTTTTTCTGGGTATTCAGAAATTATTTACCATACAACTAACACACAATTTTGAATTTTCATTAATATTAAGAAAATATTTATATTACCTCAGGAAATCAAAGTCCACATATGGAAGGGATCTGACTAAGGTTGTAAATGCAATTGTGGGCAGAATTCAAGTCATTGTTTAAGACTCCAGACATGTCTCCTAAACCTTGGCATACAATCCTCCTAAACCTTGGCATACAATCTTATATATTTTTTCACTTTCAAATTGTGACATTTCAGATACTTTTTAAAAAAATTGCTTACATTTTTTTTTTTTTTTGGTGAATTCAATATTCTCATGCTTGTTGGACATCTGTGGAACTTTATTTTTATGATAATAATGAGAGTATACTTGTCTTATTTTTTTTCAAATTATATTATTTTTATTGTGGTGATGTTGGCATAAAATATCACATAAAATTCAAAGGCATAGGTTCATTCCTATCAGATGTATGTTGCCACACCACAATCCCCACCAGGCACTGTAAGTCCTCCACTATAGTCCATCTTATCCCCTCTCCACTTTTCACAAAAAGTGGCACCTGTGTTTTACACCTGGTAAACCCCATGTTGAATCTTCTGATCTACTCTCTGAGAAATGAGGATGTCGAGGAGACGGTCAGCAAGAAAACAGAAACAGTTGTTCTCACATTGAATGACTGTACTGGTAAGTATTTACTTAAATTCTTGTTTCATGCAGTTCTTTTCAATAAAAAGGAATATATAAGAATATGTCAGGGAGAAACAAGAAGTTATAACACACATTTGAATAGTCTTGATAAAGAAAAATTTCAGGCTTCATAAAAATCATTATTTCAACTTTTTTATGTTTTAGGTTTTGGGAATTTGCTAGTGTTCTAGCTGAAGTTACTCATATAATATGTGAACAGTTAACAGGAATCCTGTTCTTGAAAAATAAAAGGAATTGTGAGATTGAAAGTGAGACCCAGAAATACTTCTTCACTTTAGGAAGTTATCCAATGGATTGATTTTAAGAAATCATATACAGGCTTTAGAGAAGTACAATAGACAATAACTAATCACATATGTCCATGGAATACTTGAAATGTTCTCAATATCTAAGGGCACAAACCACAGAAAATACCTTGATCTCTGGAGGGCAACATTATAAATTTAGAAAAGGTGCAGCCCTGGAAGAGGTCCTTGAGTAACCCCACAGTCCTAATCAATGACCTGTGGCAGTGAGTAGCAGTAAGACATCCCAACACCATTCACATAGTCATAAGGGCAGCACATGGCCTCATTCTCCCAGTGATTCTGTGTGTGGCTGTGGGCAAGTTACATCTGTATGTGCTTCAGTTACTTCATTTGAAAGTACATAATCATCAATTTCATGTCTTTTCATGAAGATCAAACATGTTAATAATTGTATTCAGGACCACATGTAGATCATAGGAAGTGGTTAGGAAATATGAACAATTATTATTTTTCTCAGTTAAGGAGGTTCTTCTTTTCACCCCTTTGTATGACCTCAGACCCTAGTTCTCCAGGAAGAGTGTTTGAACATAAAGCAGGCAAAATTTACATGACCCATTCAAATATTTTAGAATGATAATATAACCCCTGATTCATAGAGCAATGCTGGGAGCAGCATACAATGCTCTCCAATTCATGGTCTCTGGAAGGAATTGTGCTGAATTATAATAACATGCACCAAGTTGGGTTAGTTTTTCCCTATAGAAGTCATTAATGATGGGAATCCCAAGATGGTGATGTTTTCTTGGTACTTTACTAATTGATGCTCCACAGAGATCAATTACTGCTTTGGGAAGCTTCAGGAATATGGGCCCTGCGGATACACACTGACAAAAACAGAAAGTTTCTAACATTTTCCATCACAGCATCTTTAGAGGTAGGGGAAGCAATGATCGTCCCAAAACTTGGTTGCACTCTGGATTTTTGGAATGGATATGATTGATATTTTCAGAGATCTGGAAGCTTGTTCATTAATTTTCTTATAAAGGTAATTTCTAATAGTTATATAGGAGCAGGAGGAAATTGATTGGAGGGCAATTGAACTAAACATTTTTAAAAATCTATGTAGTCATCTCTTAATTGGATAGTGCTTTAAGACATGTCAAGTTTTCAACATTCTTTAATGAAAATATTTGCCCTTCGTGTATTGAGAAATAATCTCAGTGGGAAACAGGAAAAATTTATTCCTCCTAATCAAATATCTAGTAGCAGCTATTAGTATAAGAGTGAAAAGAGGGCCTCCCCAGTGGTGCAGCAGGTTGAGCACCGCACTGTGAAGCTGTCCGCAGCCTCTGCAGTGTGGGTTCGATTCCCGGCCACCAAGGGAGAGTCCCACATGGTGTCTCTCCTGTCTTGCCTGCTGCTCCCCTCAGCAGTGTTTTCAATCTGTCTACCTGTTCTGCTCCCCGCTATCTCTGGTGAACCCTTTTACCCTCCTACGCCTATGGTCTGTACCCCAGCTCTTGTATAAAAATAAATAAATCTTTAAGAAAAAAAAAAAGAGTGCAAAGAATGTAGACAGCAGCAAAATGCTTGATTTCTCTTTCCTTCCTTCTCCCCCCATCCTTCCACTCACTCCATCCATGAACCATGAACCTGGTGAAGACTTCGTGGAGATTATGCTGAAGGTCACACTGATGCTGACAGAGGCAGTTGGAAGTCTTCAGGAGAGTACATGGAGGAACACAGACCTGTGAGCCAGAGCTGAAGCAGATAAAATAATTATTTTGGAATTGTGGAAAAAAACTTTTAACTGTCTCAAACAGGTACTACTAACATTTTGGGCCAAATAATATTCTGGTGTTTGCCTGTGATGGTATGTGTGGGCATGAGACACTGTCTTGTGGCTTTTTTATCCTGAGTCTTTACCCAACGGATATCAGTCATACCCCTCTCTTTTTGGTTAACTACCAGAACATTCTGTGACAATCAAAAATGCCTTCAGACATTGCCAAATGTTCCACAGGAGTCAGAATAACTGCTGGTTAAAAAATACTGCTGTATAAGTAATCGGTAGTCTGCTTTTTCATCTTTAGATTTGGAAACCGGAGCATTTTTAAAATTATGTTCTACTTCAAACTCAGAAAAAGACAAATAATTTATTTTTACTATACATTGAAAAGGAATGCCATTATTAGAGTAGTTATTTTCTAGTCATTTTCCAGTTGTTTTCTTTTGACTCAAAGAATGTTTTCAAGCTGGGTTTTCTTTTTTTTTTTTTAAGAGCTGGGGTACAGCCCAGATATGCGGGTGGCTGGTGGGGGGGGGAGGTGAGAGGATTCACCAGAGACAGAGTGGGGAGCAGAACAGGCAGACGTACTGAAATACACTGCCGAGAGGAGCAGCGGGCGAGACAAGAGAGATTTGCTGCGCCATGTGGGTTGCTCCCTGGCCGGCTGGGGTTGAACTCATGCTGCAGAGGCTACAGATTGCTTCATAGTGTGGTGCTTAAACCCTTGAGCCACCAGGGAGGCCCTCAAGCTGGGTTTTCTTAGTGCATGTCTTCTTCACCTCTTTGTCATTTGAAGAATGACACCACTATGTTTTAGCCTAGATTCACATTTCTCTGAGAATAACCACACAGTGCCTTTGCAGTCAGGTATACTAAGGGTCAAGAGGGAGAGAATAAATAAGAGTTTTCTCACACCCATCATTATTTTCTCAATGTCAAAAACTTCAAAAAAATCCATCCTTATTTAAAAAGACAGTCATCTTCCTGACTCCACCCAGTAATATTTCTGTTTTGTGAAAATTTTGGCATGTTTCTACATTGCATTTAAAAAGACTGGAATCATTATTGTTTCATGGATGTTATGAGAGTACAATGAAATTTACACAGATATCATTCTATCTGTTCAATCTGGCTAACTATTTTTTAATTAGTTATTTTATCATAGCAATGTTTCAGATAAGTTCTTAAAAATAAATTTAATAGCTGCATGGTGTGCCATAATATACTTATACCTTATCTTTGATCATTTTCCTCATCTGACACTGTATTTCTAAGTTTTACTCACACGAATAATTGTGCAGTGCATCAGCAAGCATTTTTGTTAATAATTTCATGTACACATCTTTGATTAATTCTTCAAATATATTAAAAGCAGTGAATTTATTTGTCAAATATATCATTATAAGTCTTAATGTCACAGTTACAGGAAGTTTGAATCCTTATGCTAGCTACTTGAATAATGAATGGTTGACATTCAAGAACGTAATTAACAAAATCACTATGCTAATCTTATTTTCAAAATGATAATATAGATTATAAAAGACATTCTTTCCATTTAAACTTTATTGGCAAAAATGAACACTGGTGTGTTAAACATCTTAAATAAGCATATTTCTTATCTCTTCAGCGGAAAACAGAGAAAAGTGCTAATTTTTTTATTTATTTGTCGGCAAATATTTATTTTGAAGAATCACCCTTGTACCAAGAACAGTATAAACATGGAAACTGCAACAATAATTATGTTACCACCCATGAAAAAAAGAAACAATTAATTATAATATAGCATGACCTACAGGAACAGAGACAAATTAAGTACTAAGTATTAAAAAAAAAAAATCCTAGGATCCCAATTCTTTCTAGTATTGACTTGAGTCCACCAAAAGAAGGGGTTTGGATTTCATAAAACAAATCTCTAATTAAATCATTTATGATTTACTTATAATGATTCAGCACCAAACCCTAAATTGTGTAGGACTAGTGTTAGGGGTCATGAAGTTTCTTGTGGAACTGAATGCTTTTTTGTGATCGGAGCTCTGAACTGGAGCTCTATGCACACGTCGGGGGCAAAGTCTGAACTTTTCTTAAACTTCACTAAAGCAATGTCTTATTTCTTATCTACTCTACTTATTCTCATTTCTTTTTTAGGAGACATTCAAAACTAAAGTTGGGATCATAATGAAGAATAACTATTAATTTTTTTCTCCAGCTTCAGCAAAACGGAGCCATGGGCAGGGAAAACTGCACTGCTGTGACAGAGTTCATTCTCCTTGGTTTATCAGATGCCCCTGAATTGAGGGTCTTGCTCTTCTTGGTGTTTCTGCTCATCTATGGAGTCACAGTTGGGGGCAACCTGGGCATGATTGCACTGATTCGGGTCAGTTCTCGACTTCACACCCCCATGTACTTTTTCCTTAGCCACTTGTCTTTTGTGGATTTCTGTTACTCAACAGTCATCGTGCCAAAGATGCTGGCTAATATCTTAAATGAAGACAAGAGCATCTCCTTCCTGGGATGCAGTGTGCAATTCTACTTGTTCTGCACATGTGTGGTGACCGAGGTCATCCTGCTGGCTGTGATGGCCTATGACCGCTTTGTGGCCATCTGCAACCCTCTGTTGTACACAGTAGCTATGTCCCAGGAGCTCTGCATGGGGCTGGTGTCTTGTTGCTACCTCTGTGGAACTGTGTGTTCTCTGATTCACTTGTGTTTAGCTCTTGAGATCCCATTGTATAGGTCAAATGTAATTAACCACTTCTTTTGTGATATCCCCCCTCTCCTATCTCTCGCTTGTTCTGATATCAGTATGAATGAGCTGCTGTTATATATTGTGGCCACGTTCAATGAGATGACCACCATTGTGATCATCCTCATCTCCTATATGTTTATCCTCATCACTATCCTGAGGATGCGCTCCGCAGAGGGAAGGCGCAAAGCCTTTTCCACTTGTGCCTCCCACCTCGCAGCCATTATTGTCTTCCATGGAACAATCCTTTTCATCTACTGTCGGCCCAGTTCTGGCAACACTACCAACACTGACAAAGTGGCCACGGTGTTCTACACTGTAGTGATTCCTATGCTCAATCCCCTGATCTATAGTCTGAGGAACAAGGATGTGAAAGAAGCTCTCAAAAAACTGGTGAGCTCCAAAATATTTTCCTAGAGATTATTTTCTTAGCTGGGTTTAGCATCCCAAAGTGGAGTTGAGTGGAGGTGCAGTGTTAGAGTGGTGAGGATAGCCAGGAAGTAGGTTGATGAGAGTAATTCTTTTTGATTCACTTACCTTTGTTCTTTGCAATTCAAGGGTAGGATTGTTTGTATTTCAAAATTTGCTGGCAATTTCTTTGCTTTCATTTAGTCTATAATGTCTGAAATGCATATGTGGAATGGACTGAGAAACACATTCAATTTGTTGTTAAACCTTCATAAGCTTAATGAGAACTGTTGAGAAACACACTTTCAGTACCTATTATGGAAACTGATCCACTTCAAATGGAATTTTTATTGTTTTACAATGAATAACACACCTTTGTCAAGCTGTTTATATTAAAATTTATATTTCCAAATAAGTATATAACTTTTTAATATTTTTTATCTTATTTCATTTTGTGCTTATTTCATGTTTTCTTAATTGTTTGTGTGGTGGTTGTAGTGTCTGATGTTTCTGGACTTTCAGATAATATGGCACAGAATTGCTTTTCTCTCGCATATGGTATTTTATTACTTATACTGTATATGTCAGTGTCTCACACACATGCATTTGGAATGGACTTTACAATGAGTAATGGCGTTTGTGAGTGAGGTTACTTCTCACTTTTTCTTTTACCTTTTGTTCTCATACACATTTTCCAAAGTGAATAAAATGCTGAATTCTAGCCCACTTGTAGAAGAAAAGCATTTATTTTTCAGTAGTGTGTGTGAGTGTGTGTGCACTTCTTTATCTTTGGTGCCTCTGTGGTACAGATATAATTCTATTTGATATGCTGGTCTTTGACCAATTTGTGGCCATCTGCATACTCTGCTGTACAGTTACCAAGATCAGAAACTCTGTGCTGTGCTTCTGGTGTGGTCACATGCATGGGGGGTAGCATGTTCTTTGATGTTCCTATGTTCCACTTTCTGGATCCACACAATCAATCACTTTTGTGATTTCTTCCCTGATCTCCTCTCTTCTTCTGATTATTTTCTCAGCCAGTTGTTCCTTTTCCCTGTTGCACATTTAATTGAGTTGAGCTCACTGTTCATTTTTAAGTCACATGTGTGCATTGCTATTACCACCCTGAAGATTCATTCAGCTGGTGGACTCCACAAAGCCTTCTCCACCTATGTCTCATACTGACCACTGCTACCACCTTCCATGGAACCATCTTCTTTGCACCCAATTCTGGAAAGGCACAGAAGGAATCATCTGTGTTTTACACAGTGGTGATGCCAATGTTGAATGGTCTCATCCCCACAGTCTAAGAAATAAGGATGTCAAGAGACAACAAGATAACAAAAACACTTTTTCTCATTGAATGTGCTGTTAAGTACTTTGGTTGCTGCCAGGCACCTTTCTACTTTTGAATTGAACTGTTTACTGAATTTATTTACTTTATAGAAGCAATAATTGTTTACAATGCTGTATATGATTTAGAGGTATGTGAGCACATCCTTCAGGAGTGTGTTACTGTACTACAACAATAAACAAGGCACCTTAATCAATAACCATAATTCATTGTTACCACCACAACTTTAACCTCCTACCCTTCCCTCTGATAGTCTCACATTTACAATAAGATTCCCAGGGTTTGTTATTTGTTAAGCTTTTTCTGACCCTTTTTTGCATCTCTATATTCCACATATAAGTGACACCATCTGGTATGTGTTTTCTCCTTTCGACTTATTTCACATAGCATCATCTCCCCCAGTTCCACCCATGTTGTTGCAAATGGCAAGCTGATTACTATTACAATGTCTATATATAGTCTTTTTTTAAAGATTTATTTATTTATGCATACACTGGGGTGTAGGCCAGAGGTGGGGGGGTGAGGGGATTCACAAGAGACAGAGTGGGGAACAGAACAGGCAGATTGAAATACACTGCTGAGGGGAGTAGCGGGTGAGAAAGGAGAGGTCTGCTGTTCCATGTGGGTAGCTCCCTGGCCAGGGATTGAACTCATGCTGCAGTGGCTGCGAATAGCTTCATAGGTTGCTTCTTAACCCTGTGCACCACCAGGGAAACCCTATATATAGTCTTCAATAACTCCTCTGTCTTTGGGAGCTAAGGTTCTTCCCTTCGATTGGCTATTGTAAGTAATAAGGCAATAAATATGAGCACACATATATTTATTTGTGTTAGTGTTTGGGTAGACACCTAGAAGTGGACTTGCTAATCATGTGATGGACCATTTTTAATATTTTGAGAAACCTCCAAACTATTTTCAGAGGGGTTGAGTCAGTGCACTTTTCCACCAACAGTGTGTGAGGGTTTCTTTGTCTCCACATCCTCACCATCACCTGTTGTTTCTGGTTTTTAATATGGACCATTCTGCCAGGTGTGAGATGAAATCACAACCTTATTGTGGCTTTGATTTGCATTTCTCTAGCAATAAGTGATGATGAGCATCTTTCTTTTTGCTGACTTGTGAGTTCTTTGTAGATCTTTGATAACAGTCCCTTGTCAAATGTTTTTGTGCAAATATTTTTCTCATTACTAGGGTGTCTTTTGGTTTTAGTTATAGTTTCTTTCACTGTGCAGAAGTGTTTTTGTTTGATATAGCTGCAGTTGTTTATATTCTACTTTGCTTTTCTCCGTGCTGGAGATGAATCTACAACTATATCACTGAACTATATCACTGCCATGGAACATTTTGTGTATGTTTTCCTTCTATGTAATTTTATGATATAAGGTTATGTATCCAAGTCAATGAATATTTTAATAATTTACTAATATAATGACATCTGTGCTTTTTGTATTTAAGGTTCATCTGGTAATCTTTTGTGGATTTTTTTGCCTTTTTTATTTTATACATCATTTTTGCACTACATATGCATGATAACCAAGATGAAAATTCATCTGGTAATCTTATTGTCAAATGCTATTGTTATGCAGTAATTGGAGAATGATATTATTAGTTCTGACAAACTTATTAAAAAGCCCTTAGTTGATTAATAAAATGACAATTAAAACATGTTATTTTATCACTTAGTAGAATATTCTTTAAGCCAGCATCATCAGTCTTCTGTTGTAAGTACAGGAGGTATTAAACTGGATAGATATTTGCCCACCAGAGAGCACAAGAAACTAGATATTATGCAAACTTTAAATGTTCTAAAACACAGTGGATGGCTAAGGTTATTAGATAATCAAGACACAAGTACAAAGTTACCAGATGGGGATTCCATTGCATGTACTGTGGAAGAAAATAAATTAAAAAGAAAATATTCAATGTTAGAAATATTATACATTGAGTGGAATTTCTCAGCCTCAACACTATTAATCATTTGCACTGGTTATTATTTTTTTTTTTTTTTTTGCTGTGGGACACTATCCTGTGCTTGCATGTTGTTTAGCATTATCTATGGACTGTACAACTAGATGTCAGCAGCAGTCTTTTGCACTTATGATAACCAGGATGGTCTCATGTATATGTGGAATGTAGAGAATCATTACAAAGGCTCAGTCAACACCAAACCAATAATAACCATTCAACATCTGATTGTAAAATGGAGGCATGCAGAGGGGATGATAAAGGGATGGTAGTGGGGGAAGGAAGGGTCCCAATAGAACATGGTGGAGGATGTTGAGGGCACCAGTGATGGGCAGAGTTGAAAGTAGACATTTGTAGAATTTTGAACCTATATCCCCTGGGGCAGATACAATTATTTAAATCTACTTTAATCTCAATAAACATAAGGTAGGAAAAAAGAATCACCCCTTTCTGATGTACCACCCTGGTGAAGAAGCTATTTCCTCATCAACACTCTGTGCCATTACTTATTTCTGGCTAAATGAAACTGCTCTGTCCCCACATTTCATCTTCTTCTTTAAGTTGGGTTTCTCTGATTGCTGTCTTTCTCTTGTTTGATGTCTTTTCATCATCTCTACTGCCATAAAATAGTAGCTCATTTGTAGTTTTGGATTTATTGTCATTTTAACTTCACCCACAAAGACTTCTTCTTCCTTCGTTTAAACAGATTAGGAGAATCTGCAACAATAGGGCATCAAATTGATGACTTTTGAGAAAGCAATTGCAGAAAGAAACTCAAGTCATAACATGCATTGTGAGCTGTGTGTTCTTCAGCTCCCCCTCCACCAATTTTATTTGATCATCTTGCTCTGCAGAAAATCAACCCCTATTTATACATTCCTTTAAAAAATTGAGTTATTCTCTTAAATGTTTAATATGAAAATTAAATGAGAGAGTGCTTGTATAATGTTTAGATTAGATTCTAACACGTAACAAGCATCCAATAAGTGCAAACTGTTTTATGGTTCTCTGAACACTGAGTTTATTTTCTTACCAGTATTTGAAAGAATTCTGGTGTGGCTCTAGTCACTGCCCTGCAGAAATTTAGGTACCTTTGTAATGAGTTCAGTCATAGAAAATGTTCATTTTATTTCTGAAAGCCACTATGAGGTATGGCTCACAGAGGTGACACCAGAGTGCAATGTCATCATGTGCTCAATGTAATATAAAAGTAGGCATGTTGGAATTTAAACAACTGCTTTACAAATTTAGGATATTAAAAAATAGGCTGGTATTCCATAGAGATTAATTATTGTCTGTGTTTTATATCTCATGTAGTATTCATTTGATTTCAATGTCTTTTTATACCATAGAGAGTAAATATGAATTTGAGACATGAGGGGCCCAGTTCCCAAGGGTTTACATCACAGTATAAGTCTCTGAGGGTGTACAGTGCACACCTAACAGCTCCAGCGCCAGAGAGAAGATGTCTGTCGCCCAGGTTTGTTAGCTAGAACTGGGCCTAGGTTACTTTAAAATAAAAGTGAATAATTTTAACCAGCAAACATTTATTAAGGATATGCCTAATTCATCTGTTTTCAAATTAGAGAATGTTTTCACAGAATTCATATTCCCTTGCATTTCCTGTTTAAAATGTTTTTGTATTTTAGTATTTAGAAAGAGTTGTTGGAATTAGAACAATTTTCTCTAA